GAACATGCTATAAGCATTAAATGTCTCTTATAATAAGGAATGGAGGGAGTACTTTTTTGCAAAACGAGATAGACTCCTCCACATATTTGTTTTGTATACCGTAAAAGCATTTTTAAAATTACGATTTGGCTTCCATTTAAACACTCTCTTAGAGATAGATTAGAGTAATCAATATCTGGGAATACACATTTATCATTCTCATGCGTGATTTTCAATTAGTAATATTTGAAATGGTATGTTATGATAACTTTTTTTAAAAAAAAACAAAAGAATCTTCAATTGTGCTGAAGAATAACAATAAAAAAAAAAAATCAACCGTGGGAAAATAAATCAGATTTTTAGGTTTTGGGTCTAAGCAGTATTATCAGCATGGGCTATTATTGGGCCGAGATGGTTAACCCATTAGAGATTGGCCCTTGGGGCCGTGAACTGGGCTTAGTCTTTTTAGCCAGAGTTAAGTGGGCTTATTCAAATGTCCAAAAAGTGAAATAAATGGGCCTATAACGCAAAAATATCAGCGCATTTGTTACTCTCAAACTTGAATATATTTACATGTAACATACTAACGGAGTTAGGTTTAGCAGAAAAGACTAGTTTTTTATAGTATGGTGAATTAAGGTTTAACTCTTTATTTGGAGAGGTGCTCACATTTAGTGTACGACAGTGCCTCGAACAGGATTCTCTAATAGGAGGATACCTATGTTTTAGCCCAAAAAAAAATTATTTACATAAAACTTAGAGCTGGTAATATGGGTTGAACTTATGAGTCCAACCTGTCAACTTGCCAAAAATAACAGGTTAGGATTGATCAAAAGCCAACCTGTAGTAAACAAGCCTTTTTAATCCACACCGCCAAGCCCGCAACTCGTCGCGAGTTAGCCTACCAACCCGCAAGCTAACCTACGTTTATTTATTATTTATTATTTAAAACTTTTAATTATTATAATTATATTATTATATATTATATCCTATCTAAAAATTTTAAAAAATACTTATATAATTTATTTGGTGCTTTCAATTAGATATTTCAAGGAAAAACAAAAAATTTATTATTATTTTTGGACATTATATAAAAAAATATTAAAAAGTAAAAGAAAATTTCCCCAAAAAAAAGTGATGGGCCAATCCTCCAACCCGCCTTGTTGGGTTAAGGTTCCACCGAGCCTTTTCAGTCCAAGCCGTCACGGGCTCAACTAGCCACGGTTGCGGGTTGGGTCATATTACCAACATTATATAACATAAAATCTCTAACATAAAAACAGAATTGGGTTTAGGAGATGAGGTTAGTCCCTCATAACATGGTGAACCAAAATTCAAATCCCTGTTAAGAGATATGCTCACATGTAGTGCCTGACAGTACCTTGAATAAGATTGTCTTTAATAGAAAGATACTTTTTTTAAAAAAAATTACATGTAACATAAAATCTCTAACAATTCACACTTGGTTATGAGTTTTTGACAAAAGAGAATTATAACTTTGGTGAAACTCTTTTTTTTTTTAATTAAAATTCCGTAGTACATGGGACTCACCTATTAGAATATAAAACCCCGAAACATTTATTATAGCTGACCTCCAATAATGTATTTCGGTAAGCCTATGCAATGCAATTCTTGAATTTCTGCAATTTTACACATTAGTAATATAGCAAAACGTTGAAAAATGCTAAAAACAAAATGTGTCCCATTATTTATTGATAAATGCTTGAAAAATAAGCATCCTCATCCAGCATGCATGCTATCACTTTCAAACACAAAAAATAACAAGAAAGCTTAGCTTTGAACCTAAGCAATGAAAATCACCCCTGAAAATTATGTGCATCTCTCTCCTCATTTCTTTTCTACTCTTGTATCTCTTTCTCATTCTTCTTCTTCGTTCTTACTAGTGCACATTTTTTTTTAACCGAGGTAAAAAGAACTAAACGTGAAAATTATTCTCAAAGCAAGCAAACTTGAACGTTAATTTGTTGTGTTGGGAACAGCTAATACATTTCAATAGGCCCATCTCTATCAGTACCCCCATGTATCTTCCACTCTGTGGTCATCTTTGCGTGGGGAGATTTAAAGTGCAAGTTTTGAAGTCAATGGGATTTGAACACTTGTCAACCAAAACGCCAGAAAAAAAAAATCTGAATAAAATGTTCTTTTGTGCAATATTAAGGTTAACCGGGAAAAAAGGGAAAGACAAGTTGGAAGTTGGAAGGAGCAGCCTATTTATAACACAAATAATGAAACCGAAGGTTGCTGTGACAGCACTATTTTCATGGTTCATGTTCTGTGTCTCATGAGCATACAAATTTGTTTCTTTCAGGACATCATCCTTCAGACACGTAATTCATTCAACTGTACTATTGGACACAGACTAAGACTTGTTAACAGCTTCACATTTAATTTATTGTCCAAAAAAATCAAAGTAAGAGAAAAAAAGTGAATGTGGTATCGGTGGTACTCCTATTTTTTTATGTCACATATTTATTTATTTTTTAAGACCAAAATATTCACTTTATTTTTTAATTTTCTGTAAAGTTTCAGTTTGGTTTCTTAATTTTAAAAAGTATATTTTTGATCTTTTAACCATAAAATTATTAGTCTTAAATGATGTTTTTTTTATAACAATCATAGTTATTTTGAAAATTAAATTTAATATTTTAGTATTTAGTAATATTTTATCAATATTTAAGAGCTTAGTATCATAATTTTTTGTGAGACTAAAAATTTACTTTTTAAATTTAAAGGACTAAAATAAAACTTGTGTAAAGTTAAAATATTAAAAGTATACTTTAGCCCTTTTCAATTAAAATAATATTTATAGTTATTGCACATGTTAAAAGTTTCACTAAAGAGTAGTTTCAATATATATATATAATTAATAAAAATATTTTAAAATAAATAATACCAATTTACTACCTCCGGTCTTAATTATAAGACCCAGTTGACTAATTTGAGGAGATTAAGGACATAAGTTAAGTTAGTTATTTGTAATAAATAGGTGTTGTCTTTCTTAAAATATCCTTACTAATCAACTATATTCGTTAGAACTACAATTATTAGAAGTATTATCTTGAAAAAAAATACATAAATATAAGAGATAAAGTGAATTAGGGTCTTATATTTAGAATCAAAATAAAAGTCAAATAGGATCTTATATTAAGTACAGGAGGTAGTATTATAAACAATCAATTTAGCTAACATCTGTAAGTTAATTATGCATGTTATTTTCGGAGGTAGGATTATAGTTTGATTGGGTCAAAGGAAGAAATAGGGTGAGAAAAGAGGGAAATAAAGGGATGGTCCAAAGGACAGCCCTATGACCCGACAAAACCTGACTATTCAAAAAGCTCAAAAGACAAAAACTGCACCCCCTATCATGTCTCCACATTTTCCTCTCTCACCCAAATTCCCTTCATTCTCAACCAAAAAAAAAAAAAAAAAATCACATCACCTCCAATTTTAAATCAAAATAATTCATAGTATAATTTAAGATGGTCATTTTAATTTAAAATACCGAAATTTCGTCTTCAATTGATTATAATATTGTATGCAAAGTAGCGTAGGGAAAAGGCAAAAAAGGGGAATGGAAGAACAGAAAGAATGCCCTAATATTCACGCCATGTTGACGGACTCGCATTCAAACAAAGAGATTCCTTCTTCTTCCTTCCTTCCTTCCTTCCTTTCTTTATCTCTTCAGTAGCTTTCTAGTTCATGGGGACCATCATTTCTTCACTTCCTCAACATTCTTTGCTTTTCTTTCTCTCCCAAATCTTAATCCTCCATTTCTTCACACTTATCTTATACTTTTAATAACAATACTTTCGATATATAATATTTATATTTCATGCATCAAAGTTCAGAGAAGATAAGGAAAAAGGAGGAGGGGGATAGGCTCTGCAGGAAAACACCTAAAAAGTAACGCTTACTCCCCTGTTTCTCTCTCCCCCTCTCTCTTTGACCACTCCTTCTTCTTCATCTCATGCTTTTCTCTCAACTGCTCTTGCATCTAATTAGCTTTATGATGCTACGTATCTCTCATTAATTGAATTTGGAATTGTCATTTCCACTTTAGCACTACCTCTGCATGTGTCCTTTTCTCGTACGTTTATAACCAAACTCATGTTAATGTTATCTTGAGCTTTATCTTCTCACATGCTGAAATTATATTTATGACGTCGCTCATACCCTAAAATACATTTGGAAATAGTAATCCTGCATGAAAATGTTTAATCTCCCAAGTCTTAATTAAATTTGAGCTCAACATCCCACTTTAAATGTCATTATTTGGTCCTACTTTAAAGTAACACAAATGTTTTATAAAATTTAGAGCAGGGGCTATCCTATTTATAAATAATGAGATTTGATTCGTCAGACTTTGGAGAATAAACAAGGATCAACTTCATTGATCTTGTGCCTGTTCATGAGCAATTATTTTACTTAACAAAATATAAAACAAAGTTAGTGTGAATCACATTCAAGGCATACTGTTTATTATGAATTTATGATAAAAATAATGGGTTGCTTTTCAAAATTTTTTAATTATGTGTATAGATGCATATATTAAAATTTTATATGAACGTATGTTCGCAGAAAGTACAAGCAGAGGCTTGCTTGATCTTAGGGTCAACCTGACCTCTCTCTCTCTCTCTCTCTCTCTCTCTCTCTGTGATGAGTTTGAAGGCTTGAAATTTCCTTCAAGGTTTAACTATCATTCAAACATCGCTCTCTCTTTTTGCTCCTTGACTTTGATCTTACAATATCTCCTTTTCCATTTTAGTTTTTACTGTGAAGCGTCTTACCGAAACTCTCTCTCTCTCTCTCTCTCTATATATATATATATGCATGTATTTATATGTATATGCTTTGCTAACTTATACGACTGTCCCCTCTCACTTTTGTTCGCCGTCTGTCTCGTGCTCTGTTTTCCTCTCTTCCTCTCTCGCTCATAGGAGCGGAGCCGAAGACATTCGCAGTTTCTGATTCATCCCTCTAAGGGCTCAAATTTTCGCTCCATGTCAAAAAATAGCAAAAGGGTGTGTTTCAGTCCTGATGTCAACGAGAAATCAACCGTCTTTCTCAAGCACGATGGCGAGGGTGGCAGTTTGTCGCCGGTGAGCTTTTTGCTGCGACTAGGAGAGAAGATGATGGCGGGAGCTATGAAGGTTGTTTCTATAAGAAGAAGATCTTCAAGAAAGGTGTCTTCTTCCACCATGGTTAGGTCACGTTCCTTATCTGCAGGCTCTTCTGATTCTCATCGAGCTGAAGCTGTTGAAGATTGTATCGAGTTCTTGCATTCTTCTTCTTCTAGAGAGAGACCCAGTTGAGAATCTATTATATGTTATCCCAGAAACATGATATGGCGTGAAAAAAAAATAATATTGTGTTTCGATGTAATTTGAGGATTGTCTTGCTTTTGTTTTCTGAAGAATTAGCCCTGCGTTGGTCGTTCTGTAGAATTTGAAGAGACGCTCTTCTGATTTTTGATGAATTTGTTCATGAAATGAGTAAGAAACTAGTTAGATAGATTTGCAAATTGCAATCTCTTATTGATTAGAGTTCTCTGAGAGTCAATCTAATTCGCCACCATATTTTTGGTATGATTTCCATTTTTTCTTTTTTTTCCTTCTGCCATTTCATCTGTATTTGACGAGTGGCTAACTGTTAACAATGAATTAGAATTTGAACTGCAACAAAAGGAGGAGCTGGACAGAGGCTTGTACCACGTAATTTTTTAGTTTTGGAAGAAGGTCAGTTCAGAAGATGAAAGGGAAAAAAAAAAAAAAAGTTTCCTTAACGTCAACAAAATAAAAAGAGATACCTAGGATTTACGTTGATTTGCAGTATCATTTCAAAATTACTTGCTAATTCAACCATGTCCACTAGATTGCACAAAAGAGGTTCGAAATCAGTAATAATGTTTAGCATCCATGACTTACTGACTACGTATTATAATTTTAATCCATCAGAAAATTATAATTTTTTATCTATCTTAATCATTCAGTCATAGAAGGTAACCATTCTAGAATGATCATGCTCCAAAATCTTGATAAAACTGAATTTCCAGAGGATATATAATATTTGTGATTTTTTTAATAATACACTCACAAAAGAATCTGTTCACTTTTAAAATTTTTTTTTCAACAATGAAGTTTCAGTCTTCCACGACGTTGAACTGTGAGTTCACTTTTTTAAAAATCATATAGTGCCACTTAGTTTAATGCAATGCAATCTCTGAAAAAGTTGCAGAAGAAAATGCAACTAATGAAACCACTCAGCAATTTTAACAGGGAAGAATCAAGATTCTGAAAACTCAAGCATGATCCATCATTACAACACACAGTTCTAAAGCGAAAGCGTTCTCGAGTACCAAGGCCTCCTCTACGTATAATTGAACATGTCAGACTCGCAATCATATTCTGAAATATCAAGCACTATAAAGTAATATTTTTATGGTAATCATGTATTCTGTATTTAAAAGATTCTATGCAGGATATCTCACTTTTTTTGTTTTAGTAATTCTTTATTTTTTTTTAATTTTTGCTCAAATATACAGACTACTTTTATTATTGTTGAAAGAAGAGAAAATTACTTTGAAGTCCAACACAAGAATTTTAACTGTCAAGTCTCATGAAATGCGAAAACAGCTCTCAAGTCCTAAGGTTCTTTTTTTTAATATGTAAATATGTTTTAATACCCAATTATCAAAAATACCCTTCTCTACATAATTAATTCCAGCGTATAAGAATTTTGGGATTGGAGGGGAAAAAAAGAAAAACCCAGCGTGAGTAAATATGCAAATGGCAATCCACTGCTTTGCCACACAACCTTTTGACCAGAGGAACTGTAGTCCAATAGCTTATTGCTGAGGGATGAGGGAACCCAGGCTAACATCTTTCCATGCAAATACAAAGTCATGTCTTCATGTTTCTCCAAAGCCCTATTCTGGGTGCTCTGGTAACCGTGCCCCCCTCTTAAAGCAAAATAAAAGGTAAGAACTGATGCAACCCTACATTGTTTCTTTCACAGTAATCTCAAGTCTTTTTGTCTTGTTTCTGTCTACTGAACTCTGCACAACAGCCCATGTTAATTCTTTACCTTCATGCATTTAGTAAAAATTTTTACAGAAAAAGGATGTTACTTATACACAATATTCACAAATGGTCAATCGAACAATTTATCATGAGATTCCATGCTTTAGTGCAGGTTGCTATGAGATGAGACTTGCAATGCAGGGGTCCATTTTTCTAGTTATATTAAAAGATGTATCTCTCATATTTATCTTTATATTCATTCATTCATAAATATATCTAGTCCTAATTACACAAAAGCTTCAGTCTAACATTCTAAAAAAATTATTTGCCAAAAATTTTAATTTCTATACCAAAACCCGTGAACAGTTACAAGCTTGGACCAACATCTCTGAAGAATTTGCATTTGTATTCTAAAATGACGATCAAAATGATCACCACCAGGTAAGGCAACAATGATGCAAGTAGAAAATACAAAAAATTCAAAGATGAACTGAAATTTATTAGAGACAGAAACTAAGCTAGGATAAGCATGTCTTGTAATCAGACGTGAATTAGATTTACCTAAGGATCCCCCCCCCCCCAACAAAAAAAAAAAGGTGTTTCCAAGCTTCCACAAAAGTCCATTTATTTCCAATTCACTAATAATATCATAGCAGGAGGAAAAGAATAAAGATTCCAAACAGCATTATGATTAAGCAGTGCAAGGCATATTATCAAGAATCCAAGGAGAGATCTTCAAGTTGTCGGATTCCCTGAGTGGAGGCCTTTTTCAACTCAAGAGCTCTCTTGTAGGGAGGGGCAATAGGTGGCTGTACAGGATCCAAGCTCTGATATGTTCCCTCAGCAACTCTAGGTAGTGGATATGAGCGATCAGAATCATACCCACTCAGGTCTCCGCAAGCTAAAAATGGAATATAAACCTTATTTGGTCCTTCCAACCACCCACTGCTACAATCTGCACACAAGCATGCGTTTCCAGTCACACGAGATCAACTAAAGAGTAAAGACCCTGGTCTTTATAGAAAGAAGAAAACCTATTTTGGTCCCTGACACATCGATGAACTTTTATTTTGGTCCCCATGGATGAAATTCAAATTCTTACAAATCCCTTCCATTATGATTCCAAAATTTAACGCCAAATCTAATAGGCTGCTGACAGGATGTCATTTGCCATCCATTACTCACGCCAAATTTACCATCCAATAACAGCCAAGTCATCCGATTATTAAATTTGATGTTAAACATTAAATGCAAATGAAATAGAAAAGTGACAACTATATGTGAATGACCAAATTGAAAGTCCACCCTCTTTTCAAGGGCCAAACAAAATTTTCCTTTGTGAAAAATGGAAGGTAATAATTTCTCAGATTATGACGCTTGAGCATACTAGAGGAGGAATGAATTTTTAGAAGTAGAATTACTTTGTATAAAAGCCAAAAGATTAGCTAAAGGGATTGACTATACCTATATCATCAGCCCCTGAGGGACTTCCAACCTTCTCTAGCAGGCGATGCAAATCTTTGGGATTGAATCCTTCAGGAGGGGAATAGTTTTCGCAAACTGCAAATGCCTCTGGAGGGGAAAAAACTAAGAATTATCACAAATAGTAACCAACTATACCTTCCTAGCATCCAAACAAAAATAAGCATCGGTGGAGGCACGGAAGCAGAGGCTAAACTAAGAAAAGTAGTATAAAGATAGGGACGCTAATGAAGCAGATAATGTATAATAGGTTCTCCATTTAAATAATCAGAAGTTCGCATACAAAACTTTCATACATAGAAGGCATGACTCTCAGCTCCTAAGTGATTCCTTCTAGGGGGGAAAAGCAAAGAAACCCATGTCAAAAGTTAAAATAGTAAAAGAAGGTAACCCAGAATTTACCTATGCTAGAATTTCGACTGCTTTTTGGTTTTGCGAAAGTCACTACAGGGAAGAATAACTTCAGCTGCAAACCCACAAACAAATGAATATAACTAAAGAAACATAGGGCATGTAATCATAAATCTAGGTAGACATTAAAACTACTAAATCATTACTGCTATTAAAAACATAATCATGCAACGGAAGAAGATTCTAGGACAATTCAAAAAACAATTGCAATTGGCAGCAGCAATTAGAACTGCATGATAATGTCACAAGGACGGCTGCAATTTCAGATACTTGCATGAGTAGGTTCTTTTAACTGTACAAAAGAATTTCTATTACTCAGGGAATCAATTTTGAAAAATTCAATCCACCATCACTAGTGCACTTTTCTAATTCTCAAGAAAGTATCTCCAAGCTTTCCCATTTCTAACAAAGTACAACTATATTGATTACTTATCATCTAGTCAGCTCATCATTTTCCTTAAGAATTCTGGTCGAACTGATGTTGGAGAATTTTACTGAAATCTGCATGTATAAACATGGCGACCTAACTTTCAGAATCACAAATCTCATGGCACTGGATTGCCTATACTGTTTCCAGAGGTTCTTATTCTTCATTCTCCTTTCTCAGTGTCTATCATGACTCTCAGAGAATAACATCTATAGTCACCTTCACATGGATGTTGAAAAAGCTATCCAGATAGGTTAGACTGGAAGAAATAAATGCGAAACATGATTCAGTCAATGTCAAATTAAACCTGACAGTATAGGAGGCTTGTGTCTTTTCCTCTAAATATCTTTGCGATAAACTTGCCTCCCTCCTTGAGTACATGAGTAACAATTGTTAAACCCTGCAAGAGGTAATCTGCTAAGTAATAAACTTCAAAATCTAACAAGATTGCCAAGAATGATTACAAAACTGTTAGCAAGATGAGGAATAAATCATTTAGCGATTACACACCGCCCAAAAGGAAATGCTTCTTAGGAAGAAAAGTTGTTTGATTGAAAACAAAGAATAAAACATAATCACACACTTTACTTGCAAGAAAGTAAACAGGAATGAATAAAAATTGAGTCATCAGCATCCATCCACCATTCAAATATTATTTTTATTTCCAATTTGTGATGAGTTATCAAGGCAGCAAACGAAAACCCCCACCCAGGGGGGGGGGGTAAAAAAAGAACAATAAAAAATGTGATTATAAAATAAAGAGATTTCATGGAACCCAAACCAAAACAAGAAACTGAAACATACTCTGCTATAGATTCAACTAAATAAAACAGAAAGACAAGCTATTACAGCAGTTCTCGCAAAACATAAACACACAAAAGCACAGAAACAACAAACTACAAGGAAAAGAAATATCTCCTCAGGCTTTCAAAAGGCTTGGACTTTTTCCTCAACACTAGCCAAATTCTTTCTTGCTTCTCTTAAACCGCAAAACTCCATAAAAATCTCCAACCACAAACACACTCTTATCCATCTCACCACACTCATACCCCAGCTGACACTCACAGAACACAACTCTCCCTTCCCACTAGCCAATCCCTTGTACCCTTTTTTGTTTACATACTCTTCCCATAGGCCTTTAGCCTCCTCAGTCAAGAAGTTACGACTCCATCATTAACTGGCCCTCCAAGCTTCACGTTGTCCTCAAGGTGAAAATTAGCAATTGAAAATGATTGCTTCTCTTCAATATTAACGTTATTTCCTGCAATCCTTGCCGAAATACCAGCAGAACATCAGGCTCAACTGGTTCTCTAATAAGAGGAAGAACAAGAGCCTACCAATAACCCCAATCCAAGAATACCTGGAAACAAGAGTGGGATCTGCATTGGAGAATCCCTTTTCCAAATGGGCAAGGGCATAGAGCTAGGAGCCTCACTTGCAAATAGGTTTTCCATAAGCTTAAGATAACTCCTAGGTTCTTCATCAAGGGAAACAACTTCACCTTTGGACGTGGTCACCAAAGATGATGAGTCATGCATTGAAGGGCTTCCCAAACAAATACCAAGAAATTCCTGACCTCACTCTCAGTGAATTTATTGATTTCATAAATCTGTTGTTTCATGTTCAGAGGATCCATGTCATCATTAACCCAATCAGCGATTGATGCCAAAACTTGCCTGCTAGACCACTAGTTCCACCATGATATTTCAGCTTCTTTAATTAAATAATGGCTTTCAAATATAGACCCCAATTCCCCCCGGTTTGAATCGTTTGGGATGTCATAGATATATACACCATCCAAAAGGATGTGCTTCTCGAGAATAGAAGTTTGTTGATTGGAAACAAAGGAAAACATCATTCATACATTTCCAGCAAGAGAATATAGAGGATTGAATAAAAATTGAGTGGTCAGCATATATTCACCCTTTCAATAATATTTTGATTTCCAAATTGTGATGAACTATCAGGATAACAGACCAAAAGAGGGGGGAAACATTAAGAAAGCTGTTTACAACAACAGTTAAGTACTTACTGCTAGTATCAATTGAGACTGAACAAATTCATCCATGTCATGAAGACCTGTGACTGCACGAAAATATGGAACAAATCTTAGTTTCCCAGTCTAAACATAACTATACATATTACACATCAAAACATTATGAAGTCAAATTATGAATGCTTCTTACCATCGGGAGCACCATCACATACAACCAGGTCAGCCTTGCAACCATCAAAATGTCTAATGACCTGAAGAAAACAATACAAATGACACTTTCATATACTTGGGGACAAAAGCCAATTGAAGAAAATCAGATTGGTTGGCGATAAGCAGCATTGAAGGAGCAAGTTCTATACTTTTAAGCTCCAACCGATTCCTAGAGGGTGAAAATATAAGATAAAAGGATCATTTAAAAACCAGGTCAAATCCATATGACCCTGAGTGACCATACTAAGGAACTACAACAATGTACATAATTGCATTTTGTGCACAACTGCACTGACTTTCTTTCAATCCGATAGCTGTCTTTTGTTTCTTTACTGCATTTCTACCATCATGTTTTCTTATCTCCAAGAAGAAAAGAACAGCAGAAGGGAGGTGCGAGTATGTAGTTGATAGTCAAACAAACCAGGAGCAATGAGTATATGATTTTATGATATAAAAATATAAACATACAATAGCAGATAAATGATTTAAACATATGAATTCACAATCTATATATATCCCTCAATAATGGATTCTAACCCAAATAGTTCAGAAGCATAATATCTTCAGTATCATGCATTATCCACTCGCCCCCAAAAGAAAATCATTTATATCCAAAAGGAAAAAGGACAAGCAAAACATGAACTTCTTAATAAAATTCTATGATATAGATGCGTGATTATTAATATGTCTTCCTATTAAAAATAAAAGGATACATCAAAATTTCGAGATAATACTGCTGTACATACCACTTCAGCTGTACGGGCATTAGTTATATCACCCTGCACCTGAATAACACCTTCAATAGGAGCCATTGGCTGTAGATCAATAGCAACTATGAGAGGAAGATCATCATCCCTGAATATCATGGTGTGGCAAGAAATTTATGTTCTTGACAGAATGACATCAATGACAATAAAAAAGTAGCAATGGATATTTTTGAAGATAAATTTCATGATAACAATGTTAGTCCACAAGTTTAAAACTTTTGAAGTGGTCAATGACTTTTTAATGATCACTTACAAAACATCAGATTTGCATAATAACTAAATGTTCATGAAATTTAAATCCAATGGCTGCTAATACTGTCAAAACCAACTAGTTTGTGACTGTACCTTAAACAATTTAAGTTTTTAGGCAAAGGAACAAAACTGTATATAGCTTATGAAAAATATATATAGATACACAACGTACCAGTATTCAATAGTCAAACGCAAAGATTAATTATATGATAGTGATACATATAGAGTAATTTTATGTGTCGCTTATCCTCAAACTCATTTCTGTTTTTGTAATGTTCAATGCATAAATGCTTAATAAGGATACCACAGTTGATAATCATTTTGCACGGTCAATAATGTTGACACTTTCATGCAAAAGCTCATCAGTGGGAAGGTGAAATGCTTTTAGGCCGTGATTTATACCATGGTTCATAATTCATATTTGTAAACTGGTACACTGAAACGTTAAAATCAAGGAAATCCTAAAGAAAGCAAAGAACTTTCCGAGAAAGTGAACTTACTTTGTATCAGGTGCAAGTTTTGCTGGGAGATAGAGTTTACGGCTCAAAACCTGAATAAAGGAACTAGGAATTATCCAGTGACTAAGATGAAATCCGCATGAGATCCGAAAATGCACATGCATGACTCAAGACTTTTACATCAATGTTCTACCACCAATGACTTATCTTCACCTCCAACGTGGATTGTGCTTCCCATTCATAATAATGTCAAACATTATTCAGCAAATCTTTCGTTTTTAGATCAGTCAATGCTTTTCCCCTTAACCTAGCATATTGATCTAGTAAATCTGGCTCTTTTGGTTGTATCTTTCATTCACCCTCGATCAACAGTGTTCTTTTAGCATACAGGAAAAGAAAGGAAATTACGATCATTGATTGTTTATTGTTCCCCATCTCTCTGATGCTCAATATTATCAGATTTCTAATCAATAGTACCTGACTCCAACTACCAGGGGCAGCGCATAGATCTACCACCCGTTTCACCCCTGCAAAAGAAATTGTAACTGTAAGCCAAGAAAGGGAACTTGTGCCCATAAATACAGCTATACAGATACACATGCACACAAGTGTGTGTATGTTGTGCTGTTAAGTTGTGAACTACAAAACTCACTAAACCTTCCAGTTATTTGCCAGTGCTTGATATCTATTCCTATCTAACACTAATCACATTCTCAGCCTCAAATCCAAAACAGAGGGAAATCCTTCTGATCATTCGTTTGTTTCTCCAAAATGTTAAGAAAAACAAGCAAACAAAAACCTATTGTGGCAGGATATTTGAATTTCACCCACAAGGAACGCACCTTCAAATATGTTGAATTCCTCATCTATTTGAAGAAGTTTAAAGGCACTTCGAGCACGCCAACCTTCCTCTTTAGCTTTCCGATAATAGATATCCTGTTAAAAGAAGAGGAAAAAATCCAGCTGAACACGAAGAAGCAACAAAGTAAGAGAACATAATCAGAGAGAGATATATCAATCATACCCTCTTGTCCCTTGAAGCCTTGCCCATGGTTTTTGGTTACTGCGTTATTAATTTGTATTTAAAAATGCCTCCTTTCTCCCAATGTTAGTGTTCCAGGAACCCGCCAAATATCAAGGGCAATCAAGCTTAGTTTGATAAAAATAAAAGATGACAGAGGAAAAGGATGAAAGAAAGTTAAAGTTTAGCTCGTCTGCGATTTGTGAGGCACAGTTCGTTTGAAATGCAGACGCGGCGCTGCATAAGCTCCTGCCTGGGCTCCCCTCATAGCCAGGTCCGGCACGCTTGAGCATTAAATATGATTTAAAAAAAAAAAAGACAACTTTTTTTCTTTCTAAAAAAAATTTAACTATCTCATCAATTTCTTCTTCTTCTCTTATGATTTTATTTTGTTTATTAGAAAAACTCATGGATCAATCTTTTTAGTCCTTGCAGAATATTCAGGTCAAAGGTTTCTTCTGTTATTATTTGATCATGTTTACTTTCGTTGAATTAATCTTTCTTTGCTTTTTTTCCCCGATAGAAGATTTGGGTTCAAGTATAGTTTTTGAGTTTTACCCAAAATTAGTGAGTTCAGGAAAAATGGAAATTAAATCTCACCATTCATAGTTTAAATTTTTAAAATCTTATTTTTCAGGAGAAAATTAGAATATTATATCAGATCCTCCTTACGCCAATGGACATGGTGTGGGGATCTAACATTTTTATCATTATCTTACGGATTATAAAAAAATCTAGTTTATGTATTATATATAAATTTACGGATTGTAAAAAAAAAAAATCAAATTCTAAGCAAAGTGAAACCTGGGCAGTTCTATATTTCCCTTGTAACTTTCACTTTTCTATAAATAAAAATAACTTTTTTAAAAAATTATATTCCCATTCTTATTTTAAAAAAATTATAGGAAAAATCTCAATTAAATCCAGTAGAAATATTTAAATTCAAATTGAGGCATACACTTCTAATAAATTCCTAATCAGGATATAAGACCTAATTAGGGATTGTTAAATGTTGTTAAATGACCAAATACTCTTCTTTAATTAAAAATGAAATTTGATTATTTTATATCTTTGAAGTGGTTTGTCATTTCTTATTATTAATACTTAGACCAAAATATAAATAGTTTTTTAGTATTTGAAGTTTTGTATATATAACAAAAACCTTCAAAATATTTTCATAAAACATTTTAAATTACAATATAAGTAGTCTTTAAATAAATACTTTTTCTTTTTAGGTTGTAAATATTTGTTTTAAGATTTTAAAATATTTAGTTATAAATGTAATAATTTACATTTTCGGTTGGATTCAATATTTCTTAAGTAAATAAAACTCACATAAATTATAACAACTGAGAATAAAAGATATTTGTTTAAAGGTTACTTATATTTGTAATTTAACATGTCTTATTAAAATATTTTTAATAGTGTAAGTTATATATATAAATTTCAAACATTGTAAAATTACTTGTATGTATTTTAGTCTGAAAAAATAATCATAAAAAATGAGAAATCACTTGAAACTTGAGAGGGATAAAATAGTTAATTTTTCTTTTTAATAAAAGAAGGGCATTCTAGTTATTCTACAACATTAAAAAATCTCTAAATAGTTCTCATTACCTAATTAGAAATTTGTTAAAAATATAAGCCTAAATTTAAATTTAGGTATTTTGGATGAATTTAAATAGGATTCTCACAAAATTATATTCCCATTTTTATTCGTACCCAACACTCATCCTCAATGATTTGAACATATTTTTAAAATTTAAATACCTAAATTTTATCCTGATATTACTTCGTTATAATGACAAGAAACAAGAAGTGGAAGCACTTGTTTTAAGATTACGCATATGAAATTCAATGTAGGTGATAGAATTAAAATTCAAAAATTCAAAAAAATTTAAGAACACAGTTAATACTTGTATTTCTAAATAAAAATGAGTAAAAATTATCATATTCTACCATAACACGTATGATAATATATGCCGAGGCAAAATCATTTCCCTGATTTGAGCAATACTAACATCCAGGCATGTTTGGCAACCGACGATTATGCGAACCAGCAAGACCCGTGGCTAGAACATGACTATAAACTTGAACAAGTAAAGAGTCGAGAGGAATATGAAAAGATTTGACAACGAATAGCAGAGCATCAATATCAGCTGGGGGGGGGGAAAAAAAAGTTAAGTTAAAACATTACATTTGACAAATTTCATCGGATAAGGTCCAATTCAAATCTAATATCTAATCGCATAAATATAATACAAAAATATTAAGAATGGAAAGCCTCAAATGTAGATAGCTGGTTTGGACCGCCTTGAAAGAAACCCCAAAATCAGCTTCCGCTGACAGCAGGGATTGTAACTGGTTTTGCATCTTCAGCTTTCTCATGCTCCTTGTTCAGCATCTGGTGATCCAATAGTTCAGTTAGAAGTTAGAACAATGTACAGATATCACACCAACCGCTTAGGCCTTCGCAAGAGACGACAACTCACCTTATTATTAATCAAATTGTGAAGTGCAATGATGCTCCGGATCAGAGAAGAAAGATAAATAACCAGCATCATGTCATTTGTTTTCACTGCAGAGGTACAAATGAACATGCATTATTATTGCAATCACACTGGTAGGCCCAAGATCAAAAGAAACTAGCAATTCAAGGGCATACATTTTTTCCTTTCAATCTATTCTAAGCTAGAATGTAACTTCTCCTTTTATCAAAAAAAAAAAGAAAAAAAGAATGTAACTTCTCCTCCACGCGCTGGGCTTTTAAGGCAACCACTATTTCTTCCTTAAGAAACACTATTTCTTATATCTAATGAAACTGGAAAGATCTCAACTGAGTTTGATAGGAGCTTTGTGCATTGGGTTTCGAGCATTTTCCATTAGGTTTAACAGAAGGAATCTTCTGGCCCAAAAAAGGAAGGGATCTCATCTCCAAAAAGATGCACCTTCTTTTATTTTTGTTTTTTAACCAAAAAAGGTAAGAAACTAGCATAATCAACATCAGACCACCTGTTATGTTGTAATGAAGAATCAAATAGAAAACGACTAAAAACTACACTTAATTCAATCCTTCAACATTAAGCATGTAGTACCTGCAAAGGCCTTGATTAACTCTGAAACGTTGAGATTAGGAAGAAGGTTGAACACGTCCTGCAATTTGTCAAGTGCACAAGAGAACTCTATGAGATATGATTGTTCCGTCCAAGTAGTAATCAACTAATCATGGGTAAAAAAGTTCCAAGATCAACAAGCTTATACGAGGCACAATCCGTATGACTAAATAAGAGAACATTTAACTACATAAACTTTGTCCACGTGGACAGCACCCATTTAAAACCAGAACAAGCAAGTCACATCACAGCATAAAAATTAATATCTAAGACAGTTCTTCATATAAGCTTTTGGCCATGTACCCGCCTATAAATGCAACATACTCTATTTTGTTTTTTGTTTTTATTGGGGGATAATGAAAGGGAAGAACACCAAGAAAGATTTTAGTTTTAGATAATACAAAATGTAGTTAGCATGATTGCAAATTTAAGTGATTCGCTTGTACCTGCAGATGGTAAAGTATCTCATGGTTCAATGGAAGCTTCCCATCAATTACCAGATCAAGGTAACCCCGTATCTCTTTTAATCTAGCATCTAATCCTTTTAGCGCAGTAAGTTTACCAGAAACCTGAACAAAGTAGGCAGTTTGTCAGTTCAAATTCTATATTAAGCGGATAAGATTGTACACACTGAATTTTGGGAATATGATTGGATTGAGGAGAATGGAAGATTGAATTCAGACCTTCCTCTTGGTTTAGATCTAAAACAAACCTCCCCCTTCCTTTACTTCTCCATTCCTCCTTCATCATTATCCTCCTCATTCCAAACATACCCTAACTCTCTAGTTGCTAGTGAAGAAAGTATGATTGAAAACAAAATAAACTGCATGAAATGACAATGGAGAGGGAAATGCAAGATTAGAACCTCAGTCGCAAGTGTACTGATGGTCGTATCTTTGACATCCCTCAACAAGTGTTCCACTCCTGTACAAAAGTAGTAATATATTAGAACTCATATTGAATAAGGATAGAAACTTAGATAAACTCAGCATCCATCTACAGAGGCTGATTGGCAAAGATGTGCTAAATGCTAATAGTGAGCTGCAATTTTTATATCTTAGCATACCAATTTCCTCAACCTCATGTGCAGCAATTTCTGAAGGCACGTGAACAAAAACCTTCTGGCTCTTTTGCGTAGCATTCTGTTGTGATACATAAGAATTAGCCTCTATTCAGGAAGTATTTGAAGGGGGGACAAAGTAATACAACTTGAAATCTTCAAACCCCATGAAAAGCGTATCATAATGCAAATCATTCATCACTATGTAAAGCTTTCGAGTATCACCATGTAACTCTTACCTCCTTTACTTCTTCAACATCATAATAAGCCTTGGTCGGTATCCCTAGCTCCTTAGGCTGGACATCAATGATGACCAGCACAGG